CATCGAGAGTATCGATCGCTTATTCTCTTTGACATACCCCCGCCCCTCCCCTTGCTGTGCTATCTCTTGGAAGCACACACACGCCCACGATAAGAACCAAAGCTTACCCATACCAAGGGTATCATCGCTTATTCGCATGTGCGCACGCATACACGTTCAGCTCCGATTACGAATTTTGATCGTCGATTTTGCCGCTTGGAGAAATCATTCGATCGTTTGGACAATTACATTGGCAACGACAATACTTTCAATGATCTTTGACAATGAACTCCGATTCTCCAACCAGAGAATATCCTTACCAAAGTTATTCCGATAACTTGCAAGCGGGAACTTCTTAATTGAACCATTATGCGTTATAGCGGCAGCCTTTATTGCCTGATGAGACCGAAGAGGAAAAAGGAAGGTGCGAGAGCAACGAGCTAGTCTGCCGCTAGAAAATAAGGAGTGTAACCTGGATCCGCCTTCATCTCGTTCGACCCTACTCCTGGAACATGTAAATTCGCGATAATAGCGGAGATGCTTCAGCCCCTATCCTACCTTAATTCGCCCTTTATGAGTTAATAACTTGGGTTATCGAGGAATTCGCCTCCGTGGTGTTACCCTCGATACACGCGCACACGCACGCGCACACGCCCACACCTATAACCATTCTTACACGCATCTTTTTTTTATGCGCGACTTCTCATACGAATCTTTCCAAACTCCTTGCTGCATGTACGAAAATAAAAGTTGTATCGTTTATTGGTTCTTATATTTCTTTATATTTCTTGGTCTTTTTGCTTTCCAAGAAATTATTCTTTATCATCGAACAACTTCCTCGCTTATTAGGAATGCAGGTGCCCGCCCACTCACACCCATACCGTTGCGAAGCTTCTCGAGGGAACATATCATTAGACTCTATTGTCATCTTTATCCGTCACGTTTTATTGATATATGTGTCAATAGTTTTTATATAATATTTATATGACGTAGAATTATGTTGTAAAAGAATTTACGAGATAAATAATATATACCTCCGTATTCGTATCACGTAGAGAATTTTCTGTTCACAGTGATAAGAAGTTTTTCAAATATTTTACAAGAACGTTCCGTCGAATATCTATATTCCCTTGACGTACATATCGGGCAAGTTTTTGAAAATTCAGAGACGTAAATACATACATATGTAGTTTCTATTTTATGCGATATTAACCATTGTTTAAATAAGTAATTCAGGCTAGGTAAGAATATATTTATTTTTAAGGCCGGATAAATAATATTTATATATATAGAAAAATGAAAGACGTTAATATATGTAAGATCGTTACGTTTGTTTCACAGAACCAAACAACTTCTGTTTGCAATTTTTTTGACAAAAATGGATTGCATAAGTATTTACGTGTGTATGCAAATATATTGGTAAGAGCAGCCCTTACACGTTGACAGCTTAAATCGTTACACGCATCTCGCGCTTTCGTCTACGTAGGTACTTACATCCGTATATCATAGGAACATTTGTTGCTTTTTGGTAGCGCAAACCGGCTGTATTTCAAGCGTTCACGGTACTAACGATTTCTCTGCACTGTATAATATGCCCCGAAGAGATTCGATAAAAAGTAAAACTATCTCAGTTTGGCCTGGCCTCGATCGTCATCCGGTCCCCCGGGTTTTACCCCAGGTTCTACCCCAGGTTTTACCAACCCGATACCCGAACTTTCGGCTCCATTACCAGTTATCAATGGAATCTTACTAACTCGGATGCTTTTTTTTATCATTCTCTATCAACAACCACGATAGACGAACATAGAGCTTTCTTTAACGATATCTCGAAATAACTCCTACGTTGTTCAACTTTTTCTTTCTTTTTTTTTATACAACTTATTTCCTGAAAATATACTTTTTTCGAGATAACATTTATAATATTCTTATTGCGGGATTTGGGTGTTTTATTTTCAAATGAATCTGCGATATCCAATGGAAGAAAAGATGAAAGGATTGTATTGATGTTTAATCATCTTTTACTATATTCATTACTTTTTCCATTTCAATATCTTTTTGGTATTATTTGGTAATTTTGGTATTACATAGATCTTACGCTAGTCAAAATTATATTGAAAAGTCTTTAGAAAGAAAATAATATTATAAAAGTTGTTTATTGGCTTGAAATATTTAGTTTCTCTATTCGCAATTCTGAGAACACATCAACCATCGTTCTCCCATCGTCTAACTACTTCGAACTCGGATGCAAACTCGAAAGGGGAAACAATTTGTCGTCTCCGTATTGTATCATGTGCGGAGAGAATTCTGTTGAGGTCTCGTTGACAATGTTGCGAGACGAAACTATCGACAACTATCACGTTCGAAAGTTTTTTTTCTCCTATGCTCTAAATGCATTTACAGGGCGTTTCCTATTCAGGAGTTAGAAAAAAGGAGATATTCGAATCACTCTGTCAAAGTTCGTTGTTGAGTAAGGTATGGTAAGTGCCGATAAAGGAAAAAAAAACTTTTCGAACTAACCGTTGAGTGGGGATACAGAAATGTTACACTTACATGTGGAATACAATGTACTATTTAGGATAGCACATAGATGTCGCTAGGAGGATGTTCTGGATATTTTATTTCTTTTTTAATCTAACAATAAACGTAAAACTACTTTTTTTTTAACGAGAAAACGCATACAGCAATCAAACCGCATGACGTGACGAATAGATCAGCTAAGGATTATCTTCATCGACTTAGAAAAACATACGTTGATGGTGGAAATATAGATGTTTCTATCGCTCATTCGCACGTAACATAAGCCTCTTTATTTTTGGAGAAGAAAAGAAATGTATAAATCATTCGTATGCATCACTTTTTCTACACAGATACATACTGTTTTATGATTAAAAATTATGAAAAAAAGATTATCTCTTGTGGAAAAGAAATATTTTTCCCCCGGAATATATACTTGAATGGAAGGACTGCGAGTTTTACATCTCTTTTCTCTCCCCCTATATTTTCCTCCTCCCTTGTTTGCGTATCATTTTCATTACTTGGTCGTTCAGATTAAACTGCAAGGCCCTTTTATGGTCTCTTCTACAAAGTAAAGACCACATTCACACATAAAGCTCCTCCAGTAACTCCGCTTCTACCACTGCCTGGGGAGAAAATAAGAGGGAGAAAGATAGAAGAGAGAAAACGGAAGCTTTGAATTTTTAACTTGTGCTCGGTATACCGTGACGGGAAACTCGATTTAGCCAGAACAGTGGTAGAGTTCTTAGCGGTCGAGCTCGCAAACTGGTAGGAAAGTACCAAAAATAAAATGATTCATGATCACCTGCAAATGGACTAAAGTAAAAGGAAGAGGAAGAGGAAGAGGAAGAAAGAAAAGAAGAAAATAAAGAGAGGAAAGAGCATGCTCGGTTTAAAGTTCGTTGAAAAAATAGCTAGGGAAGCGGAAAATTGGAGGGAACATTTAATCGGTCTCCGTTCATTCGGCGAGAATCGCGGATAACGTTTGGTCGCGTGTTCTTTCGTTAACGCCCTAGCATTCGCGTTTGCGTTGAAAAAAAAACATCGCCTTGATACAGCGATTATTAGAATTCTTCCCGTTGTTGCCATGAAACGAAATTGCGAGTCTCCCGTGTAATCCCATAAAAAGTTGTTAATATTGCAAGAGCGAGGAAAATGACCGTACCGCAAAATACAATTATTCATTAGCGAGTTCCATTTTCCGTCTCTCCTCTCTGTTCAGTGGGCAACAACGAGAACGCTTTTCAAATAAAGCGTTCGGCGCTTCGCAAATGCATTTTAAAGCAGCACGCACAATAGCTAGGTACCTATATAATTAATGAAATTTGCTGATTCTTTCGTCGGGGAATAGTCGGCTCGATATATAGGTATATATATAATAGTTTTACTCGTGTAAAAACGAGAGTGAACGAACCTTTTGCGTCGTGATCGATTTTGGCTTCTAGGTCGGCGGCCGCATTGGCATAGCCAATGCACAAGACAATTGTCCGTCAGTGATCAGATTTAACGATAAAACCAGCTAATTAGATTCATCCTCTAATTTCCGTTACCAATCAAGGTATTATCAGAGGCTGCCAATTATCGATTGAAATGACCTATTCTCTACGAATATCTCCACCTGTGTTTCAAGCCTTATCGCTACGTAACTTTATTTTTCTAAACGTCATTTTCTTTTCGTATCGTCGGCTAAAACCAACTCATTCATACACACAAATCTGCTTTTTATGTATATAAATCGATCTTTTAACAAATTCTTCCTATACCTACACTCGTATTTGAAAATATTAACGAGCTTTCGTGGTCATTATTTTCGTACGCTATTCATTTTTGTCGTTCAACAAACAATCCATTCCAACAACGTTTACTCTCTCTTCATCTCGAGAGTAACGCACCAAGTACGAGGACGTTTTTTCAAGTGGAAACGATCTTGACGGAAATACAATTTCCGGGCCTGCTGCTCTCCTATACTTATACGGGTATATTGGTTGATCGAAATAAACAAAATGTAGAATTTGAAAGATATTATGTGTCGCGACTAGCGATCATATACATTATTTTCTATTTATCGCGGCTTCGAACGTAAACATATTTAATGCAAGTATTGCTTCCAAAGTTTTCCTGGTAGATTAAGAAGAGGAGAGAGGCGAGGCGAGGCGAGTCGAGAGTTTTCCGATCAATGCGATGACAGGGCAATCGGTCATTAAGTAGATCCCTGAGAAAAGCGCAAAAAAGCTTGTCGCGACGATTAATCTTCCATAAGTCGAAGGCTCGAAAGAAGATCAGCCGCTTCGTTTCGCGTGACGCAAAGAAAACGACGGATAGCGCAGCGAGCTTGAGATCTATCACCGAATAGTGGAGAGAGAGAGAGAGAACAAGTCGATTTTCTTGTCGAAGAAGACGGGTTTTTCGAGACATAAAAATGAAGCGATGCGAGAACCGTCCGATTTATCTCACGCGATTCGACGCTTTCAGGATCATTTGTCTCAGGAACTTTTCCGTAATTTTAGGTAGCAGCGAGGAGTCGAAAGCGGGCACTGGGGATCTCGGAAAACGAGGAGTAAAGAGACCACGGTCAAAAGCTTCCTCGCCGGTCAGACAAGGACCACAACAATGTCAGGTAAGAATCATTTCCATCTTTTCATACAAATGATATAGACAAACATTATTGCTTATGATCTAGGTATATACTCTTTCCCTAAATAGGAATGAGCGACAGGACGATTGAATATTCAAAATAATTCAGTCAATATCCATTGCCACGCATTACACGTTGCTGCAAATGCACGCTAACTCTTTTCTTTCTCTTTCTATCTTCAGTTAAGCAGTCAAACGAATCGAAATAGTAACATTGAGCGCTAACGACGTTGACCTATTTTCGATTCACGTCGGCGCATTCGTTTTCAAAAAGCTATGCGTTTGGTATGGTGCATGGAGCCTTGGTGCGGCTCGAGGAAATGTCGTGCACGCTCCTTTTCTTCTTGCCAATACAATATTTCTCGATGAACATGTAATTGATACCTACGTACTAAACGAGAGATAAAGAGAGGAAACGACGACTATCTCAACTAAAAAAATGATAATTCGAAATAAACGAATAAACGAAATTCTCTGACAGTAACTTTCTCGAGGACGTTAAGTTAATTCTACCAACGTCATGCGCAGACGGGTCAAAAGTTCAAGGCGAAGATGAATCGTAAAATCGATTCGGACGAAAATTTCTTCCAAAAGCCAAAACTTCTTACGATTTGTTACCTTATTTCTGGACAAGTTCTCTCTCCCTCTCTTTCTCTCTCCCTCCCTTATCTATATTCCTTCCTCTTTTTCTCTTACTTTCACTCTTACTTTTTTACTTTATTTCCAGCGATATGGCTTAACACAGCACGACGTATAATCTACTTTGAGGTAGACAACGCTTTACGTAGACGTCGTTGGCATATCTTCGTCTACGTATTATTATGCGTTTATCGTATATATATATACAACTCTTTCCAAGGTACTAGCCATTAGGCAAAGGGCAGCACGAGCCTTTCCTAGCGAATTTGTAAGGGTTGGAAAAGCTGTTGAATATTCAGTTGAATCAACTCTCTAGCTTGGGGACCAAACACGACAGCTCGTAATCTAACATAACACACCGATGCAATACCATCTACCTCCTTTGGGACAGTTGTCATTCGTATGTATTTAAGTTCTAGTGTTACCAACTAAACCCCTCCATTTCTTTATTTATCTTTGACAACTTCTTTCTTTTGTTAGACGTCTTATTATCTTCTTTTTTTATCTACTTGTATCTTTGCTCGGCCAATTTTTTTCATTACTTATAACTGCATGAATTTTTCATATTCTCTCTCTCTCTCCCCCTCTCTCTCTCTCTCTCTTTTTCTCTCTCCGATGATTCTCGCTAATGTAACGCATAGTACTTAATTATTTTCTTTGATCATATTTATTTTATTAGGTAAGTTTTTTTCCATTTAATATCTAAGAAACTAGAACGAAATTTGGAATGATAATGATTTATTCATTTGCAAATATTTTATTATACCTATTCATTTGATCTTTATGACAATCATATTTAAATGTCATGCAAAAAATTATCATCAAACAAATATTTTGAATAATTCAAATATTAGAATAGAAAAATCTACAAATCGAAGGAATTCTTTTTGAAAATCAAATCAATGGTATGCATTTTAATGCAGTTGATAGATAAAGCGTCGATAGAAGGATTTTTTTCTTTTACTCTTGACTCACTTTTAACGAAGTATCAATATTATCACCGTTGAATTGCGTATTCAGAGCCGGTGTTGCTTGGTATACTTTGGCAAGATCTCGTAGTATGACCAAAGCTCGAAGTAGACGTTGGACTCTAGAGGATAGAAAGGAAGAGAAAAGACACGAAGAGGGGCGTAGAAAGGCCAGGAGTAATGATGTTTGTTTAGCTCTCGAGGAAGCCCCGTCTGAGGGTGAAAGATCTGGGTTTTGGCACGGAGATGATGGTCGAGGGACAGCAGAATGGGGGAACTGCCTGAATCTGTATCCTCTCTCTCTCTCTCTCTCTCTCTCTCTCTCTCTCTCTCTCTCTCTCTCTCTCTCTCTCATGCGCGCTTATCTCGTAAATTGAAACTCCCGTGTGGCGGTACTCATGCATCTGGAGCTTCTTAGGAGTTAAGTAAATTAGATTGTCTGTTTAGAAATTGGAGGAACAACTTCCTCTCAACATTTTTCAAGTGGATATAGTGGATATAAGATAGAAACAAAATTTCGATTTTTAAACTTGTTTTGAATTGTTATATAATTATGATATTCTTTCATCTCGAAAATATACACACGTCATGCCATACGTAAAAGTATAATAAAAGTATACAAGTCAAAATGACAGGAATACGTTTTTGTATGGAATTTATTAAGAGTTTCTACCGTACCGTGGTTGCATCTGGTCATGCGTTTTCAAACAACCACTTTCGTCTACTTAAGGTTTATGTTAGTCTGGAGTTTTATTACGTCGTTGACACTTTTCTATAGGGTGTGTACTCGAAGCATAAAAATTTCTATAGGTGAGTAACCAGAGAACACGAACCGCCCTTACCACTTACAAATGAGGGTCGATGTTCAGCTTCTTACTAATATCGCGATTGTTAATTCGTCGGTCTTGCTTAATCTTTTCCAATGTTTCATTGACTTTTTCTACGATTGGTTGACCAGAGTGAGGTGCATCTTCGTTCGTCTTAACGAACGTCAAAACTTTCAAGTTTGTTTTTTTTTGCATCCATTTATTATTGATGGTTTTTGAGATTCGGGGTTTTGTTCATTCGCGTACCTAGATTCATAGGAGCTTTTGTACATATAAGCGATGTACAGCTTTGTAGATTGAAACGAAGCAACAGCAACGAGAATTCGTTCGTTCACGTTAAGTCCTTGGCTTCCTGAAATAGTTTCTGAAATACTGCGCGTCGTGGCACGTGTAATAAACCCAATTTCACATATTTGACGGACATACCGTTTCTAGCATCGCCAATAATACCTTTAATACAAATAGAATGAAATCCACCAAACAATTATACATCGAGAGGAGGGTAAAATTCAATGGTAAAATTCTTCTACGAACTCGAATGTCAATCGATTTCATTGAAATAGAGATAATTCGATGCTATTTACGCTTATACATGGAGTACGTATTGTAGAGATGTTGGATTTAAAGACTGAAATTACGTTACGAAGTAGAAATAAATTTATATTCTCGTGGAATTTTAATTAGCGTTCCTTTAAGAATTTCGTAAACTGCAAGGTGCTTAAACATTTATGAAAAAATGCGAAAGAGATGCAGGAACGATAACTACAACGATGTAATATTTTGCTCATAGCAGGACACATAACTAACATGCCTATTTGCTTCTGTTGTAGGTATGCGGAAAGGTGTTCAGCAACGCATCGGCGCTCACGAAGCACAAATTGACGCACAGCAACGAGAGGAAATATGTGTGCCTGATGTGCGGGAAAGCGTTCAAGCGGCAGGACCACTTGTGAGTACACACACACACACACGTTCATCCACCTTCGTGTCCATACGTATGTATATAGTCTCGTTTAGGGATATTTGTGATAGGTTAAATGAAAGATCAGACATTAAAACCTTCTAATCGCTTTATCATTTCAGCTAATCATTTTAGTATGTCGCATTTTGGAGACTTTTGCGTTCTTGAGAAGCGCATTGAAAAAGTGTGAATTTTGGTTTTGATTAATCTTGCATGAAACTCGAAACTAGAGTGACGTTAGAACAAAGAACTAGAGAAACGGAAGAAAGAAAAAAACAGATAGAAAGGTTAACGGTAGAAATATAGATCGTACTAGAAAGACTAAGGATTCAATTCTCCTCTGGAAGGAAGAAAAGAAATGAGAGGAGAAGATATGTCTGGGGAAGTTGACTACCTGACCGACCGGCTAGCTGCCGAGTTGGATCCGTTGTATTTTCTTCAAAGACGGATCTCCAAATCCCCCTGCTACGTCTTTCTTACCCTTAACCCTCTTTCTCCTATTTCTATCCAACGTTCTTTACTTTCTTTTCTTGTCTCGTATGCCTTCCTTGGAATTCGCTATGTATCCTTGGTCCATTCGAGCTGGACAGTATTTTTCTTTTTCTTTCTTTTTCTTTCTTTCTCTTAGATATATACTTCCTTCCTCCATTCTTCCTTATTTTTCCTTTTAGTTCTTCTCTCGATAGTTTATCCCTTAGTCGATAAAAAGTTAAGCGGTTCCACATTCGATGTAAGCCCTGAAAGCTAGCGAGGTATTACTTACGTTTTCGATCGCTAAACGCTTTTCCGTTTTTCGATAAACTTTCATGAAATTCATTGAAATTTTCAACCAAATTATAGTTCTATAGTTCTGTAATTATAAATAATAACTTACACGCCTTTATAATACTTATTTTTTAATAATACAAAATACCATGAATAATTTCAACCATTAAGAGCATCTTTGTGAATTATCTTGGAAATTTTTATTGAAACTACATTATGATGTACAAGACAAGAATAACGAAGAACATTTTTCTTGCATAAAAGTAAAAAAAAAACGACCTAGACGGGGTTGGGGACAGCTTTATATTTTTTTATCGAATTCCTTCAACCTATCTTTGGTCCAACTATTCTTAAAGTTTTTCATTTATCCCATGATAACTCCGTAATAAAGCATATTTTTTCAATGGAATAACAAATTATAGATCATCTTATTTATTTATGCAACGTACTTTTCGTGCTTCGCGCATAATACACTCGAAATACCGTTTTGATGAATTGACAAATTCGAAAAGGGAATTTCGCTTTCAGAACACGTACAAAAGATCGATCTTCCCTTTCTTTGTATACCGATTTTCGAGGTTTTTCAAAATAAAATCCTCAAAATCAAGAGCACAAAGAATAAATTATCTATCTTTTGTAATACCTTGACAATATCATTTCTTTGCATAAGAATGTCTCGCTCATTAGTATGCATTTTATAGAAAAATAAGGAAAAAAGTTGTATCAAAATATAAGGGAAGAAAAAAAGAGGTCTTTATTGTTTTGAAAGCGATGGTACACTTATCGACGAAAACGGTAAAGTCGTCGTTGTAACATTACCGTCTTATCTTTGTTATCGAAGTAAATCAACGTTGTCTTTTCCCGTTGTACCGAAGAACATCGCTGTCTGGGAGAATACGCGAAATAACGGAGAGTGGTACATTATGAAAGTATCAAGCAAGAAAAGGACAAGAGGGAGAGAGAGAAAAAGAGCGAGGAAACGCTTATACCACAAGAGATATTCTCTTGTCTAGCATTTCTTCGGAACGTAAGGTATATAACCGTTAGAAAGTAACCGCGTTTCTTCGTCCAAAAGGATTTGCAACAATGGTGGGCTACAGGAAAAGAAGCGAGCGAAAAAAGGGAAACTTTGAGAAATAGCAAGGAATGGCGAGGACAGAATGACTCTTTCTCTTGTCCTTCGATCGTCTTTCCCACCTAGGTGCTTTTAGGGGAAAAAAGAAGACGACAACGCCTTCGTTAGCCTCTTTATCATTTTCTGCAAACAGAGAGAATTCATTTCATAGCTTCTTTTCGAATATTACAAATCGATGCAGGAAGTTTTCAATTGGCAAGAGCTTCCTGTTGCCTGTTGCCTGTTGTGTATGTGTAAGGTTATATATAAAATGAAAAAAAAAACGGTCGATCATTCGATCTTCTTCAGGAACGGTCACAGGCTGACGCATCGAAACAAAAAGCCGTTCGAGTGCAAGGCCGAGGGTTGTGGAAAATCCTACTGCGACGCGAGGAGTTTGAGGAGACACAGAGAAAATCATCATGCCGGTAGCAAAGGAAACGATAGCGTCAATCCGAGCAGTCCGACGACAGGGCCTAACACGCCGAACACACCTGGTTCCAATCCGAGCACTCCGAGTACGCCTGGCGCCACTTCGACCGCCGTGTCGAGCGGACACGGGCACACTGCCTTGAAACAACTCTTAGCCACGGAACCAACGAACCAACAACAAAAGGTACGTGTCCTTGTCTAATTTCCATTCCGTATTCAAAATATTTTCTAACTTTCTTCCCTTGGATTCATGCTTTGTTACATGGAAAACGATAAAACACTGTCTCAATTTAGATCTTGGCTACTTATTTACGAGCATGTAGACCTAGTCGCGATTTCCTCGAAACTGCTCCTCGATATTGCTTTCGCTCAGGATAGATTTAAGGATTTACCGAGAGAATCCAGCGTGGATCAATTCGTCAATGTGAAAGAGGATTAAGTGCTTCCTCGGGATCGTCGAGTAGTACGCATTAGAAGCCGGTAACAAGAGGTTATCAATTTTGTCTGCGTCAATCGTAAAGAGTGACGTTTTTGCGGCAAGCTTGCAAGCTCAATTATAATCGATATTATATATATATCGATCCACGCGATATTAGACTGACACGAAACACATGGCGATAAGAAAAAACTTTTTAATTCTATTCGTAAGTGGATAGTGGGATTGGAAGGGTAGAGATAACTAAAAACATGCCCATTAAATCCCTCCTCCGATAGAAATCCTTACGAGCTGGAGGAAAACTCGAGCTACAAAAGCCTGGCTTTACTATCTATGACGTAGCAGCAACATTATACTGCACCTAGTTGAAGTGTGCAAGCAGAGAGGAAAAAGAATAATCAAAGATGCTAGGATAGCTCCTCCTTTTAGTCTCTATACCCAAAATTTGACAATCCAAAACTTGTAAAGAGAAGGGAAGAAGAAAAGACACGACCGACTGTGGACCATTTTCATGAGCCGCATTGGTTTATAACGTTCTTATATTTGTCCAAGAGAAAATGATGAAAGATCGATCTATCGTTCGATTTCGTTCAACGACAAGACTAATGAGTCCTCTCTCACGAGAGAAGTGATTTAAAGTCAGAGATAGTAGAAGAAAATTATTAATTAAAAATTCCTTTCAGACGATACACGACGTAGTATAATGTGAATAAAGTTATGAACGTTCGATGAAGTTCGTTCGAAGAAGAGAGAAGAGAGTATTTGGTTATCGCGATATCTCTCATCTTTCTTCAGAAAGACGATCCCTCCTTAGGAAAAGGAGAAAGCCTTACGCTAATCTGATTAAACGAATCCTTTTGTCTCTTGCTCTAAACGAGCATACCGTCCTGCAATTAAATTTCGCTGATCTCCTTTCATTTAGGCAAACGTCATGTACGAATTATTTCTCGGAAACGATTCCTCTCTTCACTTAATCTTTCGACAGATTTTAACTCAGCGTCGTCTTTTATTTTCTTAGAAGATTATTCTAAATTTCGCATTCGTCGCTTAGGAACGTGAAAATAAAGTGATAAATCTTAAGGCATTATAGAAAAATAAAGACGAAAGAAAGAATATGGAGGAAAAAATACAAAATGCTCGATTAACCGGTACAAGCTTCTCGACATATCAAAATGAAAACTTTCAACGGAAAATTTAGCTTTTCAATTTCTTTTTTACCATTGCATTTTGTAAATATATAAGTATAGGGCGGTATAAAGAAATGTTTGTGCGCTAATTGGCATGTGCGAACTCGTTCTAATGCACAGATTCTTAAAAAGGAAAAAAGGGAGGAAAAGTGTATAAATATATATTGTACGTATGCATATATATATGAAAGGGAAGGAAAAAAAGAGAGAGAGAGAGATAGCAATGTAATCATTGTCGATGGATTCACAGGGCGCATTTCCCTTACGTAATTCTGGGCAATCGTGATTGCCGCTTCAGAGAGGCATTCGAAGTGCACTGGAATTATCTTCTTACCATTGGGAAATTGGAAACTGGGTCAGAGAGATTCCAAGGACGGAACTAACACAATTCAAATATTCGCATGTAACATTTTCACGATTGCACCTTCCAACATGCGTACGATCTCAGTTGTATTGGTTCGAATCAACCGTGTGCACATTTGTGCACATCTACTTACGCGTCTCTTTGCCTTTGGAAAATCTCGATCGAGTTCAGAAAGAGATCTGGTCCGCTCGCCGTATCCATCTCCAACTTTGCAAATTACGTTCGACGTACTTTGAAGTTTTCGAATGTTTCTCTCTCTCAATCTGCCCATTCGCAAAATGTGCGCGCGCAACGTATCGGTAAATCAAAGGTTGGCATTTAGAAATGATGCGAGTCTAAATATCGGTGCTATTTTTTCTTTTCTCATCTAACTGACCTTTCATCTTTTTCATCGAAGTGGTCAATTTCTTGTATCTTCGATTACAAAAGCATTGGTAATTTCGGATAGATCGATCAAGCGAAATGAAAGAAAAATGTTTGGAAATAGAATGACCACCGACGACCCTTCTTGCATTATTTTTCAGGTAACGTCATTTGAAAGTAACAAAAAACTCCTTGGATTACTATAACATAAACAAGTTAAGTCGTTTAGTATAGTTATAATAGTGTATAATATTTTTGAGCAATAAATTTTGTTCAAGAATTTCATGGCGCTAAATTCTATACTCGCATATGTCTCAGGGACGAGTCTTTTGGGGAATCTCGTTCGTGTTTTAACTCGAAATCGCAAATTCGGTCAGAATGCGTTATAGAGAACAAAACGAAGGACTTCTTTGAAATGAAAAAATGATTAAAAAATAATTGTGTTCCCAATGAGTACGCTAACGATTAATCCTTCGGCCAGAATTCCATTGAATTTTTCGAGGAAAACTGGTGCTGAGGCTACTGCGACAAAATTTTCGTTAGACCAAGGATATATCGTGTTTTGCTCTATTTCTATACCACAATCTTAATGAGTATTAGCGCGTAATGGTCTCTTTTAAAATCCCTACTAGGAAAGGCAGATCCGTATTTTTGCTCTACTACGATGTATATAAACGAAGGATCATTACCGTAATCGTCGAAACGTGGTAAGAAAAATATGCCTCGTTCCAATTCCGCGGTATAAAGACTGGGAAGCTTTATAAATAGATTCATTTATCGCGGACGAGGATCCACGTTAAATAGTTGCAAGAGAAAACCCTAAACGGATGATCCTCCTCTGCGTTTTTGTATTTCTTTACAGACGTACTTACTCCTTTATAAAAGACCAACAATGTTTCTAGTGTTTGTAAAACGGCTGTAATTAGAGATAATCCTCTTTATTTAATCCAGCTTATATTACGATAAAACGCGTATTAACCTCAGGAAATATATAAGGAACAAATTTATAGAATTTTATACGAAATGAAAATCGAGTTTTTCGATAAATTCTTTCGCGTAGAAGAGCACGACGAGCTATAAACATCGAAGCGTGCAAGTTGCACTTGAGAAAGGAAATTGACGTCCACTCTCGCAAGAGTTTCGCAAAACAAATATATTCTGCTGGAGGATTCTATTTTGATCAAAAATGAGTTACTAAAATGAGAGATATAAAGATTGCATATATAAAGAAATATCGATCGCGTCGTTGAAAGCGCATGATTTTATTTAGTATTTTCCAAATGGAATTTCGATAAATTTGTTTTTCTACTCATTCGCAGAATAGACTCAATCATTTTCGCGGACTGGGAATTCATTTTAAAATTGAATTGACGCTTATTAGATTCCTATTGTTCAGGCGTGTTCGCGATCTTCAAGCATTATCGATCGCAAACAATATTTTCGTTGTATTATAAAAATGCCTGATATCGAATTTTTGGTATCATTAACAGAATGCATGGCGTGCGATTTCGCCTGGTGATAAAAATATAGCGTGATCTGTAAAATTCAACCTGTCAAGCGATTTCATTTTATTAGTTATTCAAAGGCCGTGTCCCTGTTAGCGCGCGTTTTTACTTCCATATATTTTATTCGCCGACGGCGTGTTGCAGTGATATGTATTTTCGGTTATGCGAATACTAGTGCTATGTACTACGAATTTAATGCTTTTGTCACTGACACACACGCGAATGAACGTAGAATTTAAAATACAAGGAATTTATGTTGAACGATATCCTCGCACTTGTCTTAAATTCTGTGAGCTTATTTTTATCGTCGTAGTTGGTAGAACGGAGGCACTGTTGTTTTTCCTTTTGCAGAGATGATCAAAGAGAAATATATACGATCAATAATTTGAATTCTTTTATCCCGCCGATCCAGCACAAATTCCGATGGAACGGGAGCGCAAAAATAACCTTATATTCTTAGCAGTTTTTTTCTATCTAATTTTCACTTATACGAAAATCTATTGTTTTACGAAGTAGGATTTTGTTTGTATTTGAACTCGAATTCACGACGTGTATCACTTTAAGTATTCTGTATTTTTTTGTTTGTTTCTTTTCTCCGTTCATCGTAAAATGGCGCTTGTGAAAAATAAACGAGTCGATGTAACTCGGTAGAACTCGGTACAACGTAGTTTCGATCCATTAAACCGTACGTGCTGGCAAGTTTTTTGAGGTTGCGCGTCCGGAGGCAGCTGCGTCCGTGTACACGCATACGAGAAAAGCTTCGATTTTTCAGTGTAGAGCAATGCGCGTGAGTGCAAGTGAGCCGCGAGGAAAACGGCAAAGCACTAGCTAGCGTTATTAATGATCGACATGTTGGACAGTTCGCTTTGATTTATCGGTTCTAAAAAGGAAAAAACAAATTTTCTCCTTCGACCGTAGAAAAGAAACGGAGATAAGCGTTCGAGAGTCTCAGCTGATAGATGACACGACGAAAATTTAGAATATTTTTTTATAATATAACGCTATTATGCGTCCGGGAAACAACTTGCCGTAATTGCCATTATATTCGACTTTTTCTTCGAATTTTTATTTCGAATTTTGACAAAAATACTGACATTCATTGATATACAATACTGACCAAAAGAGTTATAATTGTCAGAGATTTTGTTCAGTTTTAACAATTGCTATATTAGTATAATTTTGACGAGTAACGCCATCCTTCGGTAAAAGCTCAAAATCTCTCAAACTACCCTAGTATAACGATCAATCATAACGATATAAATATTTAACCGGTCGACATATTTGAAACATTATACAAGAAATATTTTATAACGAGAGATTAATGAAAAA